CTAGAAGGTGGGACAATACACAAAACCAACCAAGCATGCTCAAGTTCACCCACCAGGAGAGATGACTTATAAACTTGTGGAGAAATGTAAAAGGTCACTTCATCAAATTTAAGTGTGTATGCGCTTTAGATGTTGCCTAGTGAGAGGGGCAATGAAAGCTTCGCAATTATGAACTATCCAGCTCGGAGAACACATCCACATCAAAATGTATCCACCTGAGCTAGAAAACCTTTTCCATCCTATCTACACATAGAGGTACACAGTACAATCAGTATGAAGAGCAAAACTAGATGTAGGCATTGCAGAAAATAGGAACAATAAGTCATTCATACCTAAGAATACCTGAGAATAAGTGGCAGAAAACGAAGGACTTTTATCCGTGAATAGAAAACATTACACTCCACACACACACACACACACACACCTGCAAACACACACACACACGAAAAGAACCACTTGTTGTTCGACTGATGAAAAAAAATATTTGATGAAACCATAGAGAAAAAAAAACGTCAGCTTCTGATAGACAGTAAGAAGTGAAATCACTCAAAAGCTACTTCAAATTTAATAAAAGTAGAGACCGTTCTATTTAGTCTTTCATGAACTGGGTAAAACCCTAAGGTTACATATGAGGCTATTCACCTGACCCACTAAAAAAGAGAAACACCATCACTAATGTGACTTTATAGCCTAAAGTCTTGTGTTCCATATGAAAGCTAAAGAAATAAAAAAACAAACAATTGGCGACACAGAAATAAACTGAAGGTGTTGTTATGATGCAACACATTCACCTCCTGTTTAATATAAATAAACATGATGGTGTGATCATGATTTTGTGGATTAATTAGTAGTTGATTTGATTAAACATCATCTCTACATCGATTTGAGTTTGCTTAATACTTTCTCCTTTCTGCTTTTTGCTATCAACTTCATCCTGGTTGGTGTATAGAAACTGTAAACAGTGAGAAAATTGATTTTGAAAGCTACAAATAATACTCAACTTGGCTGTAATAGTCATTTGGCGTTTCATGTTGTTGTTGTTGTTGTTGTGTGTGTGTGAGCGTAGGATTTTTTTGTTTGTTTCCACTGTTATTGCTGAGGGCTTAATACAGATTCGATTGTTTGATGAGACTGATTTAAGGTGTGTTGTAACTCAATACTAATTTTGTGAAACCGTAAATAATTGAATCGGTATATAATGGAGAGGATTTGTAGTTCAGGTGGATAATTTTGATGTGGTTGTGTTCTCTGAGCTGGATGGTTTATAGTTGTGAAGCTTTCATTGCCTTATCCCACTAGGTATTTTCTAAAGCGCATACACACTTCAGTTTGAAGAAAATAATAGAAGAGAGAAGGACAGTGAAGCAAAAGATTATCCAGTGCACGACGAGCAACAAAAACAGGAGCTGAATGCAAGCTACAATACACTGAACAAAAGAGTGAAGAAAAGTGCCAGGGAAGACAAAAGAAAATATTATGAAACCATGGCAAACGAAGCAGAACAAGCTGCAGGCAAAGGAGACCTCGCCACACTCTACCAAACAACTAGGAACCTTTCGGGCAAACGTTCGACACAGATTAAGCCAATAAAGGACGACAATGGAAAGTCAATCACCAAAGAGGTGGAACAGAGAAAGCACTGGGTTGAACACTTCAAAAGACTTCTAAATCGTCCGCCACCTACAACACGTCCAGCAATACCAACAACGGAAGCAGAACTACCAGTGAACACTGACCCCCCGACGAAATCAGAAGTCCTGAATGCAATCAAGATGCTTAAAGCTGGGAAAACACCGGGACCAGATGGAATCCCAGCAGAGGCTTTGAAAATAGACCCAGAGACAACAGCGGACTTGATGACACCACTACTGGAGAAGGTGTGGAAAGAGGGCAAAGTACCCGAGGATTGGAAGAACAGTTACTTATTCAAACTTCCAAAGAAAGGAGACTTAAGTCAATGTAAAAACTGGCGTGGAATTATGCTTCTGTCCATTCCAAGCAAGATACTAAGTCGCATCATCCTGGAGAGAATCAAACAAGCCCTAGATGAAAAACTTCGTCCGGAACAGGCTGGATTCAGGAGAAACAAATCATGTATTGATCAAATCGCCACTCTACGGATCATCATTGAACAAAGCTTGGAATGGCAGTCACCTCTCTATCTCAACTTCATCGACTTTGAAAAGGCCTTCGACAGCGTCGATCGAGAGGTCATTTGGAAACTACTTCGCTACTACGGGGTCCCATCGACAATTATACACCTCATCCAACAGTTATACGACAATGCTGCATGCCAAGTAATCCACAACGGGAAACTTACGGAAGCCTTCGAAGTGAGGACGGGAGTGAGGCAAGGCTGTCTACTATCACCAATGATCTTCCTGATTGCAATTGATTGGATAATGCGACAGACAACGGCAACCAACGAGGGAACAGGCATAAAATGGACTGACACAAAAGACTTGGAGGATCTGGATTTCGCCGATGATATATGTCTGATTTCCCATAAACTGGAAGATATGCAAGTGAAAAGTAACAAGTTGGCAGAAGAAGCATCAAAGATAGGACTTCACGTGAACATAGATAAAACAGAGATGATGAAGATTCCTAGCCAACATCAACAACACCAACAGACCACAATAAGCATAAATGGGAAGAACCTGAAAGAAACAACCTCCTTCACCTACCTGGGAAGCATCGTCTCAACTACAGGCGGAACTGACGAGGACATCAAAGCCAGAATCGGAAAAGCAAGACAAGCTTTCATTACTCTCAAATCTGTGTGGAGGTCAACAGCAATCAGCATCAAAAATAAGATCCGGATTTTCAACTCCAATGTGAAGTCAGTGCTACTATACGGATCAGAGACTTGGCGAGTCATAAAGAGCATCTCAAACAAACTTCAAACCTTCATTAACAACTGTCTCCGCTCAATACTCAAGATCAGATGGCCAGAAAAGATCAGCAACAGGGATCTCTGGGAGCGAACCAATCAGGAACCGATTGTGAAACAAATAGGCAGAAAGAAATGGAGATGGATTGGCCATACGCTGAGGAAACCATCAAGTGACATCACTAGACAAGCCCTCGAGTGGAACCCGAAAGGGAGGCGGCGAGTTGGTCGTCCAAGGGTGACTTGGAGGAGGTCATGCGAGGAGGAGATGAAAGCATGTGGACAGACCTGGAGCAGGGTGAAAAAGTTGTCAGAAAACCGAAGTCAATGGAGGTGCGCAGCTGAAGCCCTATGTTCCTCTAGGAACTAAAGGATACAATAATAATAATAATTATTATTATTATTAGTCATCTCTTCTTTTGATTATTAATAGATGTACACGGGGTTTAAGCAAAAGATATCTACCCTCAAGCCCACCTCCTCAAGGAAAGATCTAAGAGAATCGCCATACCATGTATAAATGACATTTCAGTAATCACCGAGAAACTTTTCAAACCTTTAGGAATTGACGTCGCACACAAACCAACAAAATCACTGTACTCAGTCAGTTAGCTCTGTGTTAACCAAAAGACTCAACAACGTAAGAAGATGAAACCAACATCATCTACAAAATAGATTGTAACAACTACGAAAAACACTACTTTTCCCAAAGTGGACGTCCTCTTCGGATTCACATCCATGAACATAAACTAACCGTCAGAAGACATGACATCCACTTCTTCATATCTATGCAAAGAGACAACCACGGACATCGATACGACTGGGACAATCAACGTTCAAATATTCGACAGAGAAAAAAACATCAAGAATGCTAGAGAATTTTTAAAAGGCTGCCCTGTATTCCAGTGAAACATCAATATATAAACACATCACATGGACAAAATTTGCCAATCGATAAGATGGAAATCTCATACACAACGGGTGAAAGTTCAAGTCAAAGAAACAATCAGTTCCAATACAAGTAGCAGACTAGAAGGTGGGACAATACACAAAACCAACCAAGCATGCTCAAGTTCACCCACCAGGAGAGATGACTTATAAACTTGTGGAGAAATGTAAAAGGTCACTTCATCAAATTTAAGTGTGTATGCGTTTTAGATGTTGCCTAGTGAGAGGGGGCAATGAAAGCTTCGCAATTATAAACCATCCAGCTCAGAGAACACAACCCACATCAAAATCTTTCCACCTGAGCTAGACAACCTTTTCCATCCTATCTACACATAGAGGTTCACAGTACAATCAGTATGAAGAGCAAAACTAGATGTAGGCATTGCAGAAAATAGGAACAATAAGTCATTCATACCTAAGAATACCTGAGAATAAGTGGCAGAAAACGAAGGACTTTTATCCGTGAATAGAAAACATTACACTCCACACACACACACACACACACACACCTGCAAACACACACACACAAAGAACCACTTGTTGTTCGACTGATGAAAAAAAAATTTGATGAAACCATAGAGAAAAAAAAACGTCAGCTTCTGATAGACAGTAAGAAGTGAAATCACTCAAAAGCTACTTCAAACTTAATAAAATAAGCGACTGTTCTATTTATCAGTTACTTTAGGTACTTCTACTAATACTCTTACTAACAATTATATACAAGCAGTAATAATAACCCATACTTGAGCATTCAGTAAGAGTTATGTACAGCTCCGTAGACAGAAAACTTTAAAATTATGAAGCTACGATGATAGGAAGTAATCGACAGTTATCCGGGGGATAAGGATTTCAATTAGTATCCAGCCTTTCACCTAGTGGTCGGGATGTTCGCCAATCACGCCACATGTGGTTCGAGGATCGATCTACGATCGAAGCACTACTACACCTTGCTAAGCCAGTAATCAGACCGGTAAAGAGGGAAGGTTTGGCCTGCATGAGGCTTCCAACACCGCTGTTACCGAAACTTCAAACTTCTAGCCTGAAACCCTATGTTTCATTGGGAACGTAACGGATCAAAATAAATAATAATAGCGATAGTCCAGCCTTCTCTATCGTCTGCGTAGATTATCTTATCAAACGAGAACTGGAGCAAACTAACCTTCGTGGGAGGACGATGATAAATTTCAGTGTAAAATGATTTCTACTGTTTACGCTTATGATTATTCAACTTCATTAATGTCGCATATCAATCAGGATCATCTCAGTGTTTCTAAATAATTATCCGGTAGTGCGTTAGTGGTTCAGTAGTTATTCGTCCAAATCACAACCGACGCACTCCCTAACCTCTCTTCAACGGTCAAAGGTTCAGCAATGCTGGAAGGTTCGGCTTGAGGATAGCAACCTTAGGCCACCAGTGTTGATGAAATTTCAAGGTCACAAATATTCATACATATTGGATCATAGGAATTATTAAAAAGACGATTGCGGTGAAGAAAATTTTCGTTTCGACGAAGTCATCAACTAGACAGCTGTACATTTGTGTATTTATATTAAATGTGTGTGTGTGAGAAAGTTCCAGAATTATTTCCGGTCAGAGGTCAAATTAAAAATTCGAATGTGTAATAATCATGTGGCACAGTGGTTAGGACTCTCGCCGACCATGATAATGGTCCTGGGTTCGATCACCTGCCGATGCACACCTGATATCAGTTGGTCGGCCTGCAAAATTTGGGCTACCGATATCACATGCTGAAAATTCCATACCTGTACCAAAAAATAAGGTGTGGAATCAAGCTGAAATAAAAAAATATAAAAAAGGAAGATGGGGTAGAATAGACAAAATAGGCTTATAATTACTGGAAAACTCGTCAGTTTGTATAATTACGGGTTAAGGATGTGTTAATTAAATCTAATAATGCAAATAAGGACTTAAAAGGTTAATATAACAAATAAACTGGAAGGTTAAACAAGAAAGGTATTAAGAAAATCAATAATGGTGAGACTGACTTTTCCCAAGGCCATGGTAGAGACAACGATTGGACGTGTTTCTATTAGACACATACAGGAGGATTGAGGTTTGGGATCGTCAGTGCCTCAGGTATTCCCAGATGTTTTGATTTCACTTCTATTTTGAGGTTTGATACGATCCTGTATATGATGGCTTTGAAGGACTTTTCAAATGGGGCTGAATGTCCAGAATTCACTAGATGTTCTGTTATCGAACTGTATACCCCTCTGCGTTCTTCTTTTGCTAGCCATGCTGGATAGTGTTCCTGCAGTTCAAGCTCTTAAAGCCCCTCTCTTCCCAAATGAATAACAATGAATAACAATTTCCTTTGGAAACCAAGTGATTCAGATCATACAGACCATATGATCTGCTTGATGCCACCATAAATAGTTATCAAGAAAGAAAGCATATTTATGTAAAACTATATATACTACTGACCGGTTGATATGAGTAGTTGTATACCACTTGTGCCGGCAAGTGGTAGTGCTTGCTAGACAGATCAAAATAATCTAGGCAGCAGACGGCAAAGCTCATCAGCAGTGCGTTCAATATGGTCTGGCTAGCAAGCACTACCAATTGATGTGAGTAGTATACAACTACTCATCTGAATCAGTCAGTAGTAGGAGTGGTTTTATGTCTGTCACAACACAGATGCGTAGGAATTCAAGACATTTATTATTATTTTGATTATTATTATTGCTTCTTTTAGTTCGTAGAGGAACATAGGGCTTCAGCCGCGCACGTCCTTATTGCGTTCAGTTCTCTGCCAATGTTTTCACCTGGTTCCACGTCTGCCCACATGCATTCACCTCCTCTTCACATCACCTCCTCCTCACACATTGACGACCAACTCGCCTCTTCCCCTTCGGGTTTCACTTGAGTGATTCCTTCGTGTGTGATGTCACTTGATGGTTTGTTTTCTCAGAGTATGGCCAATCCACCTCCATTTCTCCCTGCAGATTTGTTGCACAATTGGTTCCTTGTTGTTTCACTGATTTTTCTGGCCGACCATCTGATCTTGAGTTGTATTGAGTGAAGACAGCTGTTGATGAAGATCTGTAGTTTGTTTGAGATGTTCTTTATGACGCGCCAAGTCTCTGAATATATAGCAAGTAGCACTGACTTGACAGTGGAGTTGAAAATCCAGATCTTATTTTTCGTGCTAAGTGCTGTTGACTTCCACACAGACTTCAGAGTGATGATAGCTTTCCTTGCTTTCCCGCTGCATGCTTTGATGTCCTCACCAGTTCCGCCAGCCTGTAGTTGAAATGATGCTTCCCAGGTTAGTAATTAAAGGAGGTTGCTTCTTTCAGACTCCTCCCACTTATGCTGATTGTTGTCTGTTGTTATCGCTGTTGCTGTTAGTGTTGACCAGGAATCTTCATCACCTTTGTTTTCTCTATGTCCACCTGAAGGAAGTCCTATCTTCTCTGGATGCTTCTTTCAACTGGTTGTTTTTCACTTGCATAGCTTTCAGTTTGTGCGAAATCAGACATATATCATCGGGAAAGTCTAGATCCTCCAAGTTTTTGTGTGGGTCCATTTTAATGGCTGACTCCTCGCTGCTAGTCACGCTGTCTGTCGCATTATCCAGTCTACAGCAATCAGAAAAATCATTGGAGACAGTAAGCAGCCAGCATGTCTTACTCCTGTTCTCACATTTAAGGATTCCGTGAGTTTCCCGTTGTGGATTGCCAAGGCTTTCATAGAAGTAAACCATATTCTAAGCTAAACACACTATTCTTAATAAAGTAGGGAGTAAGGTGAAGGTAGAGTTTACAAACTTACTCAGCTATAATGTCTATGATATGAAAAATCCTATTCACCCAATTAGACAAAAAAACCTAATCGATAAAATACCTTGCAATGACTACATAATCAACTAAGTAGGTCAATCCAGTAAATCGGGATCAGTTAAGTTATATCTACGTTATTCCTTAACGTTTCCACCGGAACACAAGGCTCCAAGATACAGCTTTGAAGTTTGAGTAACAGTGGAGATTTTTTTTCCGTAGTGGGGTTGCTAGCCTCACTTCCAACCTTCCCTCTTCGTCGGGATTATAACTGACTAGGGGGGGGGTTAAAGGCGTGGATCGGACGGGACTTGAACCCCGAACCAAGCGCATGGTCGGTCAGCAGTCCTACCGCTATACCACCGGCACACAGTTGTGTTATTGCAGCTCAGGAATTCGTCTGGAAGTGGTTCCAGTGACCCCCAAGAAGGCGAATCACTGGGAGGGAAACTGAACAATAGTAATGCATGCACTGAGATATAATCATACCATAGGGTGGGATAAACACCCAGTTCTAAAAAAGAATATAGTTAGTTAGACAGACAGAGAGAGAGAAATTGATGACTCCTAGATCTTTGTTTATGAAGTCTACTTCAAAACCCATAAAGTAGGTGTGACGCATCACTAGGACCTCAGAGGTATTGAAAAAAAATTATTACCAATAAAATCAACCGATAAGAAATAACGAGAATAATATAAGCAAAATCTGCAAGTTCTGTGAAGAGTAGTAATTTGATATGACTATTAGCGATAGATTGTGCTCAAAATGTCACCAGTGAATAAATACCACATGAATAAACCATATTTACACATTTAGTCAAAAGTCGGAGTGTGTGATAAAAAAACCCTAAGAGAGAGAGAGAGAGGTTAAGGATAAATTTGGTTTGCCTGTCCCACTGAGATCAATGCAGATGATCCATGCATCAAAATATGGGGGGGGGCCTAAAGCTCCCTACCGAACACCTCCATCTACCTACTATTATTAGTTCAGAATGTGCATCATTATGACGGTAAGTCTTCCAGATTGATGACAACATTGGAAACCTCACTGGCAGGATTTAGTCGTGTCTACACTAAGGACTATATGCATGGTATTAGTCACTCCCTTGTAACTACCTGCCAGTATATTCAGTAAACTCGTACGAGAAGTCAGTTTTGAGACAGAATATCTCAATCACTATTTCACTGATTACAGTACTGGGTCACATGGATCCAAACCATCAGAGCACCAGTTGGCAGACTTCAATTTACCACTTTTCATCCTAAATTATTTCAGTGTTCGCCAACAGATGATTTTGTTCAGAAAAACATTTAATTGGTTAAAGAAGCCTATTAAAAATTTGAAAAGACTGAGGTTAGTGAGTGAACAAAGAATGTTCTTGTGATCGGACACTAGTCAGCAATTAGCGTAATGTGTCTAGTCCTATCTTTGGCGCAGAATGGATTGTGCGTCAGACTGTGGGTTAGGAATGAGAAGAAAGGGTACCATTAGACCGATAATAAGACTCCAGAAGATCTGAACTATGAGGACGATTTATGTTTAATGTCACACAAACTCAAAGATTGACACGTGAAGACCAACAGGTTAGCAGAAGAAGTAAGCAGAGAAGATAGGACTCCATGTGAACATACAGAAGACGGAGGTGATCATGATAACCATGCACCACCGACAGCAACAGCAACATTAACCAGCACCAATCATCACCAACGAGGGAAATTTGACAGAGGTTACTTCCTTCACTTATCTGGCTAGGAAGCACAGTTTCAACCACAAGCAGATACCACGGATTTAGATGTCAAAGACAGCCAGAACAAGAAAGGCAAGATATGCATTTATCAACTTGAAACCAGTTTGAAAATCTTCCGCACTCAGGCAGCACATACTACAAGATTCGGATTTCTAGTACAAAGGTGAAGTTAGTCACTGGTTCTATACGGGTCAGAAACTTGCAATGCACGTCCGTTACGAAAAGGATTTCCAACAGGCTACTGTGAACTTTTGTCAGCAGTCGCCGCTTTAGCTGGCCAGCCGGCGAGAAACAATTAGTAAGAAGAAATTATATCTGGGAATAAATAGCCAGTCGCTCAACACATATAAGGCGGCCTGCTTAAATCATTTGGGCTACCGAAATTACTTTCCTCCAAAATGCTTTATTTCATCTGGATTTATCATTGTTTTAATCGTCCAGTTATATCACATGACCTATACATAAACTTGTGCGATTATTTAACTTGCTCCCAAGTAAACGTTGTACAATTCTTCAACGAAATGAAGATATACTTCGGATTATTAATTTACATGTGAATCCTGTATGAAGCAAAAAGTACTTTGGAACTGAATGCGCTGAAAATTTTTGTACCGTATATTCGCATACTGTCCCAGTGGGAGGTATGTCTTTGAGCTGGAGAGCCTGAAATTTTCAGTAGCAGTGGATTTCCCTTTTATGGGATGACATTGCTAGCCTTACACCCAACCTTTCCTCTTTACACGGCTTATTACCGGTCAATTGGGGGCGGCGGGGGGGTGGTAGGCGTTGGTAACGGAGTGTGCTTCGACCGGGCATCGAACCCTAGGACCACTTGCACAGTTGACCAGTTTTATACCACTAAGCCAGCGACGCGTCTTTAGTTCATTTCAGTATCTTTCTTAAAATGCCAATATTCTTTTTTTCTCTACACTCACACACAGAAATAAGAAGCTGAGAAACACCCAAAATTACTATGCATAGATATCAGATTACACCTGAGAGAATATTAACTAAAGAAAACAATGGTTCACATTCACTATTATTATTATTATTTTTAAAAAAGTACACAAATTTAATAGCTTGTAGGGCTTGTTGAGTGTGTGTGTGCGTTATTTGTGTGATGTAGCAATGAAATTTTGAATAAACCACATTTTTTTTCAATACAAATAACAATTTACATTGGTTAATTTAAACAAATTTACTAGCT